AGGATTAGCCGACTCAGAATTGTGTTCCACAGATGTCCAAAATCGATATGTCTTGGCTTTTTGGTGCATTTCTGGTTGTATATTCATCCCAAACCTAGACCACATACCAGCAAGCCGGTTACAATTTTTTTTGTTGTTAATTCCAAGCCTCTCCAGAACCTGTTTGTAGAAAATATGAAAATTCTGAGAATTATAATTGAAACACAAACTTTTATGAAAGTATGAAAGTAAACCATGGAAGTAAACAATGACATCAGAAAGTAAACCATGACAAATTTATGGTATCTGAAACTTAGATAGACAATAACTATTTAGAAATGCTCATGCCCCTTTTTAACTAGGTATATTAATTATATTCTTTCTAGGCACTTCCAACATGACTGCATGAGCAGCCAGCTTAGACAGGAGCAAGGCAATTGTACCTCACACCAGTCTTTATTAAAAAAGACCCTCGGCTTTCCCATGCTAAAATAATAACAACGGATTCCATTGCTAACATCAATAATAATGAGTTTGTATTAAACTGAAATGCTTTAAAGAAAATATAGCTGATCAAGAAATTAATGCACACACCTCATTCCTAGTCAAACCTTCTGATCCTGTGGAATCTATCAATTCATAAATTTGTTGCTCAATTGGAAGTTCTACAAGCTGATCAGTGATTTGATATTTCTTTCTCTTTCCGTATTTCACCTGCTGTTCTTCATTACAATGATCATCTACATGTGAAAGACTTTTTGGCTCAAAACTCATTTGAGTAGAATTTTCTGGAAAACGCAGGCAGCACTCAACCTGTCCAAAGTGAAAAGGGGATATCAAGTCAGGACCAACGAACTAACATGATAGGTCCTTGCCCTTGAACAGATTGAACTTAATTATTATTTATTACCCAAAAAAACAGCAACAAAATTTAAGAACATAACAATGAAAAGAACTCTGATCATAATTTATCAGGATTTTAATAAGGAAGGTAATATATATAAAAAATGAACTTATTAGGTTTTCTATTAAACACAAATATTGCAAACAAAAACAAAAGTGAACATAAACATCTAATTCTAAAGCAAGAAAAGAACATCATATTAGAAGAAATATGACTACAAACTTGTACCTTAGATAATTTAACTAGAAAAAAAGGACTGGAAACTAATTTCTAAGATAATTTAAAAAAGAAGAAGAAGAACATAGTGAATCAGTAAAGCAGGAGAATTTGGATATAAAGGAAACGCAATATTGGAAAACACAGTCAAGAAAAACAATTTTGTAAAACAAAAAAATAATAATAATAATAAGAAACCTTCTCATTCACTTTAGCGTCAAACAACTCCACGATACCAGCAGCTTTCAACCTGCGACAAACCTAGCACAGTATGTAGGGAAAAATGCAATGAAAAACAATCAGCATAACTTCGAAAATTGCTGATTCAGAGATGTAAGAGCAAATAGATAGTAATTAAATTTTTACTTTTCTCCAAGCTTTATGCCCTCCAGGAGTTCCACTGTAACCAAGATCTTTCTTAATATCCGAAACAACAAGAACCTTTAAAAACAAAATAACATGAAACAAATTTAGTAAGTGAAGGAAACAAAAATTCAATTGAACTAAATAGATCCATCAAAACTTCTAAGAAACTTCAGTTATGTGACCTTTCCATTGGCTTCTTCAAGTTTATCACAGACTGCCTTCATTTCTGGCAGATAGTCCTTTACAAGCACATCCTCTTTAACAAATTTTCCAGCAAACCCATCTCCACTTGCAGGACTTTCATTTCCATTTCCAAAACTCTCCTTAGTCTGTTCTTCCTTGGTGATCTCAATCTTCTGTTGAGAGCCTAAATGCTTCCCATGACGATACAAGTATAACATATTGGTAGTCACAAATGGACTGTCACCAGCTTCTTTTGTCTTTAATAGTGCAGATTGCTTCACAATTAACCCTTGGCATTCAAGGCTCTTCACTGCATAATGAAAGTTTCTCCCTTCAATGCCAAGTTCCTTAGCAAGCTGACTTTGTGTAATTCCATTTGTCCTGTGATAACCCAATTTGTTAATGAGCCATTACTCACCAAATGAACCGACAAAACTCTTCTCTCCCCATTACTCCCAAAGTTTACTTGCAATCACTCAACATTTTTCTACAAGAGAGAGGGAGGAACCCCCAAAACCACATAACCACTGCTTCCGCCTTTATACCATCATTTGACCTTCCATCTTAGTCTAACATATTCCTCTCATGTATATATAAAAAATTTCTAGCTGGATTATTAACAGTTCTCGACCCACAATACAATGAACTAAAGTGTACATTAAAGATTAAAAATTTAAACCAACTCCATTCATGGCTCACTAAACCAATCCAACACCGAAAATTGAAACTGAGAAAACACAAACAAATTAACAACTTAGCACTCCCATATAGATACATATATACACAAGTTACACAATTGACCAAAACCGCCATATAAAAACATACATACACTATCACATTCCCAATTTTACACATGCATATCTGGCATGCTTATATTTAAAAGCAATAGAAAACTGCGAATGCATGCAAAATTAGATTCTGAACAAAGAGAACCTAGCCATGACGACGCAGTTGATAGCTCACATACATACATACATACATCTACACAATAAATCAAAACCGCCAAAACAATCACATATACACAATCGAATCACCAATTTTACGCATACGTATTCCGACATACTTATATACAAAAACCATTATAAAAGAATGAGAATGAACACAAAACCAGATTTTGAACAAAAGATAGAACCTAGCCGTCACGAGGCGTTCGAGAGCCATCCGCTGAATCTTAGACAAGCTGGCATTGGCGGAGCGGACATTGTAGAGGCCCATGAAGTTGTCCCTGAGACCCTCGTCCGCCACGAGCTTCAGGTTGAGCTTCTCGGCGTCTTCGAAGGACAAAATGGAAGGGTCTGCCGGACCATACGGTGCGTTTTTGGCGTCGAACATGAGAGTTGGGACAGAGCGAAGGGCGTCCCATAGGGCTTGCTTGAGGTGAGGAGAGAGGTCGAGGTTGGAGGAGGAGAGAGAAAGGTCGAGTCTGGGCCAGAGGGCCTGGAGAGAGAGACCGTTTTGGAGCTCCGAGCAGATTTCTGCTAAGGCTGAGTTTAGAATTGAGTCCATGGAGAAAGCATCTGTGGATTTTTTTTTTCTTTTTTTCTGGTCAGTGTTTGTTTAGAGGGAAAATCTTCGGTTCGGTTCCGGAATGAAAGACGAAGAAGAAGAAGAAGCGAGGTAATTTCAGGCGGGTACCACCAAACGAAGCTTGTTGACCCGCCAAGCTGTAAAATATTCCGGGTCGGGCCAACCCGATTCTGGACATGCTCCGACTTTATCGGTTCTAGGGGTGAGTGTGAGCTTGATTGATTAAGGGCTCGTTTGGGAGTGCTTCTGGAAGGGCTAAAAGCGTTTTCTGCCAACCGAAAACGCTTCTGACAGCGTTTAGCATAAAAGTTTAGAAGTGCTTCTAGGCCATATAAGCACTTTCTAGAGAAACACCTATCATGTGCTTCTTCATGAAGCACTCTTAAGTGCTTTTTCAGGAAGCACTTTGATTTTTTATGAAATTTTCAACAACTACATAATAAAAACACTTTTGTTAGAAGTGCTTTCTAAAGAAGCAATCATAAATGAGCCCTAAGTGACACATTAATTAATATGATTAGAGTGGGTGTGGTTCAAATTGGTTCCCTTTCATTCTAAAACTACCCCCGAATTAATTATTATAGATCAATTTAGTTCGATTTGATTTTGATAAAAAAAAATTATTGACGAACCAAACCAACTTTGTTAGCCTAAACTATTTGATTTTGGTTCAATTTCGATTTAGTTTGGTTTGTGCAATTTGGGCCTAAGCCCTTTTTTTGCATTTTCTCAACTTTGTTAGCCTAAATGCAACAAAATATTTCATAATTTGCTACCTATTTTTTTATTTTCTAGCACATCAAACCATTGTAAAATATTATTAAGGCTACAATTCAAAGACCTATAACTTTAAAGAACCATCAAATTTTAAAATAAACATCTATATAGTTATTATCCAATAAGAAAATTACACAAGTAAACAAAATAAAAAGTAAAATAAATAGACAAAAGGACAGTTCGGTTTGTAAAAGTTCAAAACCGCAATTGAATTGATCCATTACGGTATGATTTGTTTTTAGACCGTTTAACTTTTTATTGGCCAAAACCAAATTTAAACTATCCATTGCAATTCAAATCAATTAATTTAGTTGGTTTAGTCGAATTAACGTCCATATCTAAATATAATGGTTCAAACGGCTTAAGACAATATCTCTTTATAAGCTCTTGAAACGTCGAAAACCCAGGAAACATGTGGTTGAGGATTGTACAAATTTTGTTATAAAAAAATGCTGAAAAAAGATTGTCTTATAATTCCTTAATAAGACGGTGATCTTTATCATACTTTAGCAATTCATTTAAAATCTTAAACCAAACTTATTAGCATTGAATACTAATTCAATTTGTTTTATTAGCGTTGAATCAAAATCTGAATTGTTTATTAATTGTTCCAATCGGGTCACTTTCGAGTTTATTTTAAGTAATTATGATTATGAACCTTAATGATCCACTCATTTTGTGATGGGCTTGATTTGATTTCTCTCTTCATGTTATCTTCTTGTGGGGGCGGGTACTATTTGTCCTTGTGATACAGAGTGCGTCATCTACACACACTCACACACTGTATTTTCTCACAGCCCACAGGACAATCAACAACGAATTCAATGAAGTAAAAAGTTGCGTGAAGTAAAACGAGGAGGCGACAATCGAGAGAGAAGAGAGAGAGAGAGCAACTCTGGCTCTGGTTCTCTGGCTTGGCTGTCAATCAAATCTCATGTACAGAAGATCTGCTCCATGTTTCTCTCATGATTTCTGGCCTGCCGGCACAGCAGCACTTTCGTAAATAAGTAAATTCTGTTCCTTTATATTACTTTCTCCATAAAATTTCTTGCCGTTTTGTTTTTTTTTTCTCCAGAATATTGGCTCTCTCTCTCTTTCTTCCCCAATATGTTCCATTTTAGAGTTTCATTTCCTTTTGCACCTTGTAGACTTTTCTGGGTTGTCTGGGTTAATGGGTATGTTTTAATCCTTGTTCATTTTAGTTATGCTTCTTTGTTTCTCTCTGGGTGACTCCGTCTGTATGTTAATTATGGAAAATCCTCACTTTCAACATATGTTTATCAGAAAACACTGCCTTGTTACCAACTTGGATATTGCTATTTTAGGGTATGGGGAGTCCTTGATTTTATTGTTTTCTGCAAAGTTTAGAATCAATACAAAGTTGTTCTCTGCAAGTAAAGTTTGTTCATCTGGTTTTTATTGACTAATTTTGTTTTTGTTTTTGTTTTTTCCTTTTTTGTGCCTCTGCTGTTTTTCTTCTGAAAGACTGACTATTCTTTGGCATTGACTGGGTTTCTGGGGTCTTTTATTGTTGAGATTCTTTTCCACTTAAAAATTAAAAATCAAAACTTTGAATAGGTTGGTTCAGAAAACACAGAAGGGAAAGGTTCCTTTTCTAGGTAAAAGGGGTATTTGCTTTTAGGTCATTAAAAACCCATGTCCGATTTTTTTTTCTACTTGGTAAGTTGTCTGTGGTGCAGACATATCCTCATTCTTGTGTTTGGTTCCAAAGAATACAGAGGAAAATAAAAGAATAGGAAAATTCACCTCTATCTTGCTAAAACTAAAAGGTAATTCAATTGTTGATTGGCAACAGTTGAATTGTGGCTTACCTATACGTTGGTTCCAGATTCTGGCAAACAAGGTTTGAAACTTTACTTTCTGCTTTACCCTACAATTTCCTGCTAATTCAGTCATGGCCGTTCATTGTTTTTTTTTTTTAATATGTAAAAAGTATTTGAAGTTACATTAAACAAATGGGTACCCATTAGATTTCATCTTCTGTAAAGTTTGTTGCTTGGTTTGTTCCATTTCATTTTCCTCATACATGCTGTTTCTGATGCAGGACAAGAACTGTTCTTGGCTGAAGTCAAATTAGAATGGAAGGTAGTATATTTACAGGCATAGGAAATGGAACCCAACTAGATACCAAGGTTGTGCAGACATTTCAGAAGAGCTTTGTGCAAGTGCAAGATATTTTGGATCAGAACAGATTGCTAATCAATGAGATTAACCAAAACCATGAGTCCAAGATCCCTGATAACCTCAGCCGGAATGTTGGCTTAATTAGAGAGCTTAACAGCAACATTAGAAGGGTCGTAGATCTCTATGCTGATCTCTCCAGCTCTTTTTCCAGGTCAATGGAAGCTTCATCAGAAGCTGAATCAGGTGGGACTTTGAAATCTGATGGAAAATCTAGCGAGAAGAGAATTAGATCCGGGTAATTGTTCAAAAATTGGCTTTGTTATAGTTATAGATTCTGCACTCTTCATTACTGAATAAGAAAAAGTTTGTACCACCAGAGGGAAGAACTTGATGAGCTTGTGTTTCTCTTCTGTATCAATTATATCTATTTGAGGCTCTGTGCAACAGATTCACTGCCACAAACTTTCATGAAATATCTCTATAAAAATTTAGCGCTGTAGCTTTCAGTTTCAACACTGGATCTGCTAGATTCAATTGTGCATGCTTTTCTGTTTAGGATTTCATAGTTAATCCTATAAAGATCATTTAGATTTTGGTTGGCAAGTGGTGGATGCATTCATCAATTATTTTTAGGAAGGAGAAGAATAAGAAAATAAAAGGAAAAGAAAGTGTTGGATGTATCACTTTTTTCATGTATTTAACCTGTCCATGAGTGACTTTCAAGTGTTTACAAGTGCAGTGGTGATATTCATTAATCTACCCAAGCTTAAATGCTATCAGTTTGAAATTTCTGTTCAGAGATCACAGCTTTCTACTTGTAGACTCCCTAAAAGCTGAAATTTGATTTGGTTTTTTTATCTTTTCTCATTGGTTTTCATAATCATTTTTCTGATATATTATCTGCTTCTGATGGGAACTTTAGCTACCCACTTTATTCTTTTCCCATTTTTGTCAAAAAGATATTCTTATGGTGCCCCTCCCCTCCCTAGATCAGGATTACAGTGGAGGATTGGTATATACTGTTTGCTGCCCATATAGCCAAGTTTTGTATGTTTAGAAGCTCCTGTGCTTGTTGATCTTACTTCTCCAATGACCTTGACATAGGGGGCTTTTGGGTTTAAGATGCTTTATTAAAATTGGAGAAAGCAGCTCTGGATTAAAAATAATAATAACTAGATATGAAAAAAGGGAAATGATTTTGGTTTTAGAACTAACACCACCAATGCAGATCTCGTGTAGTATAAATGATTGTTGTTTTGAACTTTGTCTTGTTGCTTAGTTTTACAAGAAAGCACTTAAAGGGACAGAAAGTTGATCAAACAGTAAGAAAGAGTAGGGCCCAGCTGTTCATTCTTTTTTTAGGTGGAATGGAACTGGTTGAAACTCAGGCTATCCTTTGCTTAGGTTATTCTCTTATCCTTTTTAAAGTTTTCACTTTGTATCTTCCCTTTTAATTTCTCTCTCTCTCTCTCTCTCTCTCTCATGCGGTAGATGATTGCTATGTAGGTTTTGGCATAGTTTCTGAACACTTTTTGGCTTTGGTAACAATCCATTCATTGATATAAGCTTACAATGAAGTGATGCAAATATCTGATTTTCCCAAAGCATTGTTGAGGAAGATACATGTGGGGTTGGGGTTGGTTCATGTATGATGTTCCTCCTAATGGATGGTAAATGATTTTAGTCTGAGCTCAGTGGCCCAGATAAAAGTTTAATGGTGGTTAAGGACCCTCACTTAAATTTGTCAGTTCTCATTTACAATCAAATCAAGGCCAGCACAAAAGACCCCATGTGGTTGAGACAATTGATTGCTATAATCAGAGCTTGAATTTTGAAGGTTTGACAAATAAAAGTGGTTACTAGAAAAGGAGAGAGTTCAATTTGTAGTAAACATGCGGTTGAGATTCAAGTTCCAGTCTCTCTCCAATAATATCTCCTAAAATAAAATTGTACCCATCAAATGGAAAAGGTACAGTTGATTTTCAAACCAAAGATTGATCTTTGAGCCAAAAACAAAACCCAAATTAGGGAATAGCAAGGACTTTTGGAAATGTAAGATTGTGCCCCAACATGGAGAGCTATGAGTCAGAACAATGTTCACCAACTCGTTTAAAGTAATCTTGTTCATATATATGGAAAAAGGTTTTTGAATATAAGTTTGAAATGTTTTATTAAAGAAGTCATCAACATGGAGAGCTATGAGTCAGAACAATGTTCACCAACTCGTTTAAAGTAATCTTATTCATATATATTGAAAAAGGTTTTTGAATATAAGTTTTAAATGTTTTATTAAAGAAGTCATATAATCTCTTTGATTGTAGATGCATGCGGGTCTCATTATGAGACTCATATACACCAACGATTATAAAATGTTAATGTGTTCTCTCAAGTGACCACGACTGACATGATACCTAAATCTCATATAAATTGCCATATACACCCTCGAATTAGGATCTCAATCAAAAAGTCAGCCAATTTAACAACTGAATTAATTAAAATGGCAAATTTAGACCTTGCTATTGAGCCGTGTGAATTTCATCCAATTTTACGTTACCTACAAGAGTAAACTTGTAATTTCGAGTAAAATAAATAATTAATAATTAATAAGAAAACTAGAATAACATTTAAATAAATAAATAAAAGAAAAACCAGCCCCATCCAGCAAGAAGCTAGATTGAAGTTTTGTCTGTACCATATACCTTGGCTGCCTCCCCACACCGTCCAAATGAAAATTAAAATGAACCCAAATTTTCCACCCCTGTTGTATTTTTTGCAGACCTGGTTTTTTCAATGAAATTTCTAAAGGTTTCGAACAAAAATCAAAATAATGATAGCTGGATTTTTTGTTTTGGTGGTGGTGGGCTTGATGGATCTGTGCATGAATGCTAGTTGGGAGTGGATTTTATTATATCTATCTCTCTGTAGAGAGAGACTAAACGGTCTGCGTGTGTTTAGAAATTGAGAGAGAGAGAGAGCGAGAGAGATGAGGACGAGGACGAAGAAGATGGTGATGGCGATGATGGATCCGGGTAGGAGTGGTGACTAGGAGCGTGGTATGTTTTAAAATATTCTATTTATAGTGTATAGCCGCGCGGCTATAGTTTTTTAAAATTTTCTATAGAGTAAAGCCGCGCGGCTATACTTTGGGTAAGGGTTTTCAGTTGTTTCTTTTGAATTTTTTAAAATTATTTAAATATTTACTTTTTAACAACTTATTTTCAAAAATAAAATAGTAAGTCATGTGCCAAGCATGTGACTTTTAAAATAGAATAGTGAATGAAATTTGAAAAAGTTGACGGTAAGGGTTACATTGGCTATTTTATATAAGTTCATGTGTTAAATTGACTGAAAAGTTAGTTTAAGGGGTTAAGTTCGATTAGGGTAATAATTGAAGGGGTAAAATGGCTGAAAATGCTATTGGAAATGCATTGAAAAGATCCATGGTGTATAAGCAACACTTGAGAATCCAAAAGTCACATTCAACTAGCACTTTTGGATGAGGCATTGAGTTGTTTCAAATGGTATCACAGCTCAACACTTACACATCGACCCGCGCATGAAGATGATGTATTTGCCATGGTGTGCAGGTCTTCTTATATGAACGGACAAATCTTCTACCACTTTGTTATTTAAACATAGGAGCGCACCCATGTAAAACATTTGTGAATAAGAAAAATGAAAATAGACAAATTGATTATTGAAGTTGCTGTTCTGATTTCTCCATCAATCTGTTCAAGCATTCTTTCCAATCTGAAACCTTCTCATCTCCATTGACCACCTATTATCACACAATGCCATGAAGATTCATTACTCTCTTATCAAGAAGGGAAAAAGGAAAGATCAAAATAAATCAACAAGGGATCACTCCAAATTTACAATATTACATCTTTTTTCCACTGCAAAATGTCTTCATTTTTTATATACCTCAAATACGAAGCCTTTCTCGGGGACTGCATCAACTGCTTCCACACAAATAAAGGCAGCATCCTCCTTGCTAAGAGTTCTTTTTGCTGAACTACCCTATAAACAACAACATCAAAATGAGACATGAATTTTTTCCCAAATGATATGAACAGATCAAGCATACTTTCGACATGAGTTTTTCTTTTTTGGATTTTACTCCTAAAACTAAACCAGAAAGGTAAAACAATTTGGCATTGAATAGTACCTGTTCAAAGCTAAAACCTTGAGTTCCACCAGGAGAATTTTGTAACGAGCCAGCCCGGATCATGGTGTAAGGGATTCCTGAGGCTACCAGTGTTGATTCATCTTGCTCAGCCAATTTTCTTGCATTGCTTTTCAGGAGAGCTTGAATGCCATTGGCACCTTTGTAAACAGACAACTGCAACCTTATTATTAAGTCACAATAACAAACATTTCCTTTTTCCTAATGTTTCTCCACACAAACACACAAAGAGAGAGGTACCTGAGATAAGAGAATTACATGTTTGACCCCTTTCAAGCTCCCAACAGTAGATAAGAAGCCTTCCTGACAAAAGAGAAAACATTTAAAAGACATCTTTAATGTTTGAGTTTCTAAAGAGGCATCATGTCGAAAACACGAAGGCACCTATCTTTGCTCTGGTGGATTAGAGTTCACGTCACATGTTCGAACATAAATTTCTCAGGTGCAATTTCCCATTTTTTCAGTCCATTGCACCAGATGTAAGTTACATATATGTGAAATGCTGATTTCACTGTAACTATTGTGGAAGGTCTACAATCTCTTCTAGCAGATATAAGGTGCTGAACAGATTTCGATTTCAGTGTAAGTTTGATTTTGTTCAGTTCATTTTCAAAATGGTTTATAACGCTACTGAGAAGCTCAAATTTCACAAAAACCAGCAAGTGGGAGGTCTAGATATTATATATGCATACATTTGGGCATATTACTGTGCAAACTCCTCTTAGAGCTCTCCTTAGGAATGGCTTGTCCCTTGAATCTCCAGCCATTGACTTTGCATACAAAACCACAACACAATCACAACCATGCAGTCAATATTTCTAGCACAAAAATGAAAAGAAGTATGAGAACAGCAAATGCCAGTACAGGAACTAATTACCACCCACCTCAACATAAGTCCCAAATGCTTCAAGCGCAGCCCGCTTATCCTTCACCAGTGCTTTTATTCGAGCTCTTTTGACAATCAATGACAATATTACCATCTACATAGGCTAGATAGCACAAGGCTCAGAATCCATATACCAGAAAGCCAATCAAGAGCAATATAAACAGTACTTAACCGCAAGAAGCAGCTTGATTAAATATTAAGGACCATGTTAAGAAATGTTATCAGAGTGCGTAATAGATCTCTGATCGAGCGCTCTTGCACCGAAGATGAATTGTTCTGTGGAACTGGCATCTTTTCCTCAGATATATTTGCAAGCAACAGTGTCACTTAAAGTGATCTTTGTGTTGTGACAGTTTGAATTTCATCTACCACATCATTTCTTTTCTCAAAATTTAGGTAGATTTAATCAAGTTTTCAATTGCAACATGGGAGATTAATCACAAGTAATATACATCAGAAAAAATAAACAATGCTGGAAAAGCACCTGACCCATCTCACTATCTCCATCAGTTACCAAAACAGCATCCCTGGTTTCTTCTCCTTCTGCACAAGAATATATCACAACCCTTTTATAAAAAAAGCCCAATAAAGCATGACCATAAACATGCATAAAATTGCTATATATGCCATCACATCACCTGGGAATTCATCATCTTCTTCAACATTTGTTCCATCTTTAGGCAGAAGCTCAGGTGCCCCATACCATTTCCTTAACTTGGGACCCCCTTCACATAAATAGAACACACTGATAACTTAGACACAATGCAAACAAAGCAGCCAACTAATAAAGAATTGGGTCCAAAAGAAGAAGAAAAACCCAGTATGTTAGAACAAGATAGAGATGAAAATAAAGATTATTACCTTCAATATAATCAAGAATTTGGTCTGTGAAGCTAACTTTCTTCTTGGCCTTGCATTGAACAAGAGGATGCTTTCGGGTGCTTAAGATGAAACAGCTAGAATACGATGGCTTCTGATAAGGTAAATTGAGTGAAGCCAGTAGAGAGAGAGTTGATGAAGAAGGAAGTACACCCGCCATTGGTTGTCCGTACGTTGTTATGTTTCTCTCATCCAACCGTTTTTTTCAGTTGCCACTAATGCTATAGCCTGTAGAAGATAAGATTAAATGCTTCCATACACAACAACCCCCTTTCTGTATGGGAAAATTAGCCCAATCCCACTTTAACCATAGACCTCGTTGCATTACTTTGTCACACCAATTAAAATTTTATTACAATGTCACCTATACTCTAATTTCATCTATTTTTTCGTTCAAAAATTTGCACGTAATTTACATGTGACCCTTTTGAAGAATAGTTTGATGCTCGAAATCTTATACACTCCTTTTGAAGGATCATGCAAAGCAAATACAACGTTTTGGACGAAAAAATAGATAAAGTCAAGTCGTACATGGAACATTGCAATTTGCAACAAACTTTAACTGAGATGGCCCATTGCTTAAATTTTATTTTTTCAGGTGGCACATTGCAATTAACCTAAAATTTAAGTGACAACGACATGTCGTTTTAACGCCCTCTCCCGTCCTATATCTTTCAACTTTCTATCTAGGGTTTCCTAAACCAAATACCAAAAATAGAAAAAAACTGCAGAGCCCGTTGAACTCCAATCGAAGCGGCGCCCACCATGGCTACTCAAATGAGCAAAAAGCGAAAGGTCTTGCCACCGATCAAACACGCCCTAATGTAAATTTCTGACGTTTTCAACTTGTTTGACAGAATATATCTTGGCAATTAATTCATTTTGTATATTATTACAGTTTGTGACGGAGTGTTCTTTGCGGAGCTGAACGAGGTGTTGACCAGAGAGCTCGCAGAAGATGGGTACTCTGGCGTTGAAGTTAGGGTTACGCCAGTGCGGACCGAGATCATTATTAGAGCCACCCGGACTCAAAACGTCCTCGGTAACTTCTTAGACCCTGTTTGGTTGATGGGTAGTATTTGGGATTGTATTTTAGGTTGATTTATGTGTTTTGAGCTTACATTGTGGATTTACAGCACATAAGTAGCTTAAAGTTAGTAACTTTGATTTTGATTCTAGTGTTTGTCTCTGTTCAATGCTTGGTTCAGTTGAAGATGTGACTTTGAGAAAACATTGAAATTAAATCATTGTCCTTTACTAGTTTGTTTGTTAATTACGTGATTCAGAAAGAAAGATGTTTACTTTAATAATATAATATATTCAATTTATACATGGAAATTGACATTCTTATATTTTCAGAGAAATTTGGAGAAAAGGGATACTTGCTTAGCTTGTAACTTGAGATGAATTTTATAACTTGTGTCGTTAAATTCGCATTGCCTGATTACACTTTTTTATTGATGGGTTTAGGTGAGAAGGGAAGAAGAATTAGAGAACTGACATCTGTTGTTCAGAAGCGTTTTAAGTTTCCGGAGAACAGTGTTGAGCTTTATGCAGAGAAAGTCAACAACCGAGGGCTTTGTGCCATTGCTCAAGCAGAGTCTTTGCGTTACAAACTTCTAGGAGGGCTTGCTGTTCGGAGGTATGCTGAAAACTGACTAGATCTCTTTTCTTTTTGATTGTGAGTTAAGAGGATTCTCAATGGATCATTCTCTTTGATTCAATATTTGGTTCTTGGAGTTTGGAGTTGTGGTCTGCAACATCTCATTATATGTTATGCATTGTCCTAACACTTTCTAAAGAGAATGATCCAACTGTTTTGATAGCACTTAGTAATGAAAGTTGTTTTCTTTACAATGATGTATGACTAATGGTCTTGAGATGCTTTGTATAGGTTAGTCTTTGTTAAAGGAAATGCAATAGTTTGTCCAATCCTGTTTCTAGTAAATATCAATAGCATTCGGTTTTATCTCCCTTTACTCACACTAATGGTTAACGGGATCCTCAAGAATGCTTAAATTGCGTTGGAGTTTTGTTAGTCTGTTTGAACTATTAATAGTTCTTGGAGTTCGGGAACTCCTACATTTCATAACATTCCTGTGTTATCCAAATATAGCAAACTAGTCACTGAAGGTCAGTGTGATTGAGGGAATAAAATTAAGTAAAAAGATTTGACTTATTAAATTTAAATCATGATTGAGTGTGACATTTGCTGGTCCTTTTGGGATGATAGGGTTTGCGGTCTCCAGCATCTCATTATATCTTGTGCCTACACATGCATACACACACCAACTAACACTCATGCGCACCTGCACACATGCACACTCAAATACACACTCACACATAAACCAGTTTTATCAGCAATGGCATTCAGTAATAACTTATATCTCCTTTACTCACAATAATGGGTTAAGAGGATCCTCAAGAATGCTTACATTGATTGTTGGAGTTTTGTTAGTCTGTTTGAACTGTTAATAGTTCTTGGAGTTCGGGAACTCCTACATTTCAGAGAGACGGGTCAGTGGCCCACTACTAGCAACACCGATATTGTCCCCAACTTAACCACCAACTAACACTCATGCACACCTGCACACATGCACACTCAAATACACACTCACACATAAACCAGTTTTATCAGCAATAGCATTCAGTAATAACTTATATCTCCTTTACCCACAATAATGGGTTAAGAGGATCCTCAAGAATGCTTACATTGATTGTTGGAGTTTTGTTAGTCTGTTTGAACTGTTAATAGTTCTTGGAGTTCGGGAACTCCTACATTTCAGAGAGATGGGTCAGTGGCCCACTACTAGCAACACCGATATTGTCCCCAACTTAACCACCTACAAAGCCCAGTAGGTGTGAGGTTTTATCACAAAAGGCCTTGGTTATATTAGTAGTGGAACCATTCATTATTATTGTATTTTGTTTAGTCAAGTTTCCGATGTGGGACTTATATTCTTCAACAAATAGTTCTTGGAGTTCGGGAACTCCTACATTTCATAACATTCATGAGTTATCCAAATATAGCAATCTAGTCACTGAACGTTAGTGTGATTGAGGAATGAAATTAAGTAAAAGGATTTGACTAATTAAATTTCATTCATGATTGATTGTGACATTGTACTGGTCCTTTTGGGATGATAGGGTTTGTGGTCTCCAGCATCTCATTATATCTTAAGCGTGTGCAATCATGTGCACCTGCACACACTCAAATGCACTCACTCAGAAATCAGTTTTATCAGCAATAGCATTCAGTAATGACTTATAAATCCCTTTACTCACAATAATGGGTTAAGAGGATCCTCAAGAATGCTTACATTGATTGCTGGAGTTTTGTTAGTCTGTTTGAACTGTTAATAGTTCTTGGAGTTCGGGAACTCCTACATTTCAGAACATTTCTGTGTTATCCAAACCTAATATGCTAATCGGTGAATGTCAGTGTGAGTGAAGAAATTAAATGAAGTAAAACTATTTTACGATAAGTACATCCACGTTACCTAGATACTTTCTATCTAAAGAAGATTATCCCACTATTTTGATAGGACTTAGTAGTGGAAGTTTATTGTCTTTGCAATGCTGTATGATTGTTGATTTGGAGATTCTTCATGTAGGTTAATCTTTGACAAAGGAAATGCATTACATGTCTAATATATATCAATTTTATTAGCATTAGCATTCGGTTTTATCGCCCTTTACTCACCATAATGGGTTAAGAGGATCCTCAAGAATGCTTACATCACATGTTTGGAGTTTTGTTAGTCTGTTTGAACTGTTAATGGTTCTTGGAGTTCGGGAACTCCTACATTTGTTTGAACAACTCCTTTATTGTGTAACCATTATGCTTTAGTATTACATCCCTTTTACCTTCTTTTGTTAGGGCATGCTATGGTGTTCTTAGATTTGTCATGGAGAGTGGAGCAAAGGGATGTGAGGTACGAACAAAAGCTGTTCTTTTCACTTGACCTTATTAGTTTGCGCCAACATAGTAAAATGAATTTCTACTTTACAACATGCAGGTCATTGTCAGTGGTAAACTCAGGGCTCAGCGTGCCAAGTCTATGAAGTTCAAGGACGGATACATGATATCCTCTGGCCAGCCTGTTAATGAATACATTGACTCTGCTGTGCGCCATGTGCTTCTTAGACAGGTTAGCTCAATCATTCTGCCACTGGTTGAGATTTTTTGTAGGCAGTGTGCCTGAGTGTTGTACTCATCTGTGATCTACATTTCTTAAACCTTTATGATTTTTCAGGGTGTTGGGATTAAGGTCAAAATCATGCTTGATTGGGATCCCAAGGGTAAGCAAGGCCCCACAACACCCCTACCGGATCTGGTCACCATCCACCAACCCAAAGAGGAAGGGGACTACATCAGGCCCCCAGTTGTGGCAGCAGCTGAAATACCAGTCCTTGCTGCTTAGAATTCTTCGTTCGTGCAATTGGAGCATTAGGTTTGGCACTGTTAGGGTCCAGAGTCCAAAATATTATCAGATACCCCTTCGACTTAGTACCCCTATTAGAATATGGGATTTTGTCTTTCTGTGTTGCTATCTGTTTAGATGGATAGGATTTTCATTTTCACAAAATGAAATTGAAAGTCAAAAGGAATTTATTTGCTTTTTGTTCCTCATGCTACCCCCTTGATATGAACTTGTCCACCGGAATTGGGGTTTTGGAATCTTCATCTTATGGGACTCAACTGAAGTAGGGCAAAATGCCTTGGATTCTAAACATATCATTTCCCATTCTTGTAGAATTCTATGGTGAGGTGCCCTATTTCTTAATTGTTGGATCAAATTGGTTAGTTGTTGGATCAAATCGGTTAGTTTGATCCAACGGTTAAGAGAAAGAAGGGTCTTAAATAATTCCCTCAACGACTCCTCACTATTGAATGGCATTTGGGCTGCATCTTCTGTGTGGCCTTTTTGCTTCCTTTTGAGTTTTTCTATTGTTGCACTTTTCAGGCCCAAAGAAAGGGCGTGGCCTTCTTCAAATTTTAACAAACAAAAGTACGAGTTGAATAACTTCGACCAAGGTTTTGTCTAATGATCTATTTATAGGAATATGTCTGAATATAATTTTAGTTGACAAAGGTCCTTTGTCAAAGAATTAGATAAGTGATGGATAAAATTGTAATTTTATTATTTTTGACGAGGCAATAATTCCTTTTGATTCCCTTTTATCAACCAAACGATCATAAGGTTCAAGTAGGGGTGGTGGGTCGTTGACCTTAATCTGACTTTATTTAATTTTATTCCCCTTTATGAATATTTCTATAAGAAACTTGAAATCTTTAAAAAAAAAAAAAAAAATACTCGTATATTATTTATAGAATAATAGTATCTCATTTACACAAACTCCTAATGATTTCCTTAAAAAAAGACCAAGTGCTACAATTACACAACCTATCATATCATACATATTGATAAAATACAAATTTGGATTTATTTTCTTCATATAATCTATATATATAAAGCAAAAGGTAGAGAATGGTGAAACATTCAAAATACCAGAAAATACCCTTAGTTAATACAAACATTAAGAATTGAAATTATTAATTAAGTGAGGATAATATGGTAAATTTACACTTTTTCATATTAAAAAAAATTAAAATTAAAAGAAAAATCAGATAATGGATCCTTTTTTTATAGAACACAACTACCCATTATCTTTTTTAATTCTAAAAGAACACAACTACCCATTATAAAATTAAAAGAAAAATCAGATAATGGATCCTTTTTTTATAGAACACAACTACCCATTATCTTTTTTAATTCTAAAATAAATTTAATTTTTTCTTTTAAAAAGCCTCTCGCAGGCGCGGAAGCGCATGCAGAGAGGCTAGTACTAGTTAAACATGTTTATCATGTTAAAAACGGGTTATTAAGTGTGACACTAATCATATACATCTATTATTATGTTTAGCGGGTCATGTAATATTCGTGTTCATATGATCAACCAAACTCACTAATTTTGTGTTACTCTAGAGTTGTGTTGTTGTATTGGTTCAAAAGTTTCCAGTGCTAGCCAGTTCATTTAAAAAAGAACAAAAAAACGAAAAAAGAAAAATTCAGCAGCTACAAAATAATGAAAAAAGGGGAAAATATAATATTGTGTCACTCTAGAGTCGTGTTGTTGTACTAGTATTGGGTCAAAAGTTGCTAGTGCTAGCCAGTTCATTTAAAAAATAACAAAAAGAAAAAAAAAGAAAAACTTCAGAAGCTAAAAAGAAAAGAAAAGAAAATAGGAAAAATAGAAAAAGAGAAGGCGAAGCTAACCGGACCCCAAGTCTCATTTGTGAACTGTATTGGAAGGAGAATTTGGAGTCCGGAACTGTATGATAGTAAGCACAGCGTACTAAAAAAGCGAGCCAAAAACACAGAGGCGCACACACACGGGTGCAAGCAAGCAAGCAAGCAAACCAATCCGATTGTTTTCCCCTTCGTTTAATTTTTTTGTTTTTACAATTTTCAAGCTTCTCTCACAAGCTTTCCTTAGAAAACGACTCGTCTTCCCAACTCAGTCTCCGGCGCTTCGAATCGGTCGCTTTTCTTTGAATTTTCCACTTGCAAACACTGAATCAACTCGCTCGCCACTCGCACACCCCTATGGTGAGCCCCATCTTACTTAATTTCGCTTCATTTCATATTCAATTTGGCTTCCAATGCGAATTTTTTTACCAATTTCTAGTCTTTTGGTAGTTTTTGCATACGAATTCTAGCTTTAAGTGTAGTTTCGTTTCGTTTACTTTACAATTTAGCCTGAAATGGTACTTTTTTCTTAAAAGAAATGTACTTTATGTATCTAGGCTTGGAAATTTGCAGTGTTTGTAGCAATATAGTTTTACATATAAATTTTCTTCCTTTGCCGGTTTGCTTTGGGAAATTTTAAGTTTTGAATGGTAGCTTTGAATATTTGATTTGGAAATAATTTTGCATGTGTTTTTATTTCTAGTAGATAGGTTTAGGCGCATTTATATTTTTTGGTGGATAAAGTTTTATTTTATTTTATTTTGGAAACTATAAAAGTTAACTTTATTTATTTACTTTGTTTTGTTTTGTATTTCTTTTGGGGTTTCAGTTTGTGTATTTGAGTTGCATGTGGTGGATTTTCCATGGAAACAGTGGTTGGTGTTGAGGGGAGTGATGAAGGGAAGTGTGAGGAGAGTGGGGTTGAGAAAAGTAGCTCTTCTTTGTCTTCACCGAAGCAGATTACCGATCCTGTTGTATACAAGCTCGTTCGGGTATGTTTTCATTTAAACTAAAAGTTTAACTATTCTGTTGGTGGTAGTAGTTTTATGCGCATAAAATTGAAAGGTGAATTGCTTCTTTTTGCTCTTTCTTGGAGGTATAAGTCTGGTGCTGCTCAAGATGCAGTAACTGTATTTCATTTGTTATGAGTGATTCAACTTTTCAATTTGGAAAAACACGATTAGCTTAGTAATGTGTGTTAATTGTAACTTTAGAGTCGATAAAAAGGACTGTCTACCAAGTGTTTTTAACAGTTATTTCATTCATAAATTACAGTTAGAAGTCAGTCAATCAATTAATCCAATCAGTTAGTGCTGTTGGAATCTGAGCCGGGAGAATCAGATTTAAGAAAATCATAATAGAAACATACTGAATCTAGAACATTGCATTTCTTCTCAGAAGCTTGATTTTGGGGATTTAGTTTATGCCCCCTTGGGAGTTGAGGTATCTGTCGAGTCTTTAACTGTAAACTTCAGGTTTATACTTCAATTAAATGAGAACATTTCTTGTTTGGCGAGGTGAGGCTCTCTATAATGTGTTGAAGGGGAAAAAGGTTAAAATCACATTGCACTTGCATATATGGACATCGTTAGATCAATGTTGATATTGTCATTGCCATTTGTTGTGTTATCCTTCAATGATGTTTTATCTGATGCCAGGTTGAAGGTGATGGGAGATTAGTGCCAGCAACAGATGATGAAGTAATGGAGGTTGAGGAATTTCTTGTGGATGAGAAGATTGAATTACCTGTTGTTACAGACGCTGGAAATGTTGAGTGCATTTCCAATGAAGAGTCTTCCTCTGGGAAGTCTCATAAAGAAAGCTCAGAAGGTCTATTTGAGTTATTTTTGTAACTAATTATTTCACTTCCATCTTTATCGTTATGGTCATTTTGAGTATAACTTTAAGATCATGCAATGGGAATTTGGAAGCTTCAACTAGAATTTATGTTTCTAATTGAGCAGAGGACATTCTAGGTCTGATTTTTATCTTTTCAGATTTTTAGATTGAGTCTTAGATGGTATCCCAATTCTGTATTGGATTTATATTGAGAAATCTTATTCCAATTTGTTTTTTCCTTAATGGGTTTGGGGGTTCATTTGCATTCTTGGCTAAAGTGACCAATTTATTTGGTACTTTTTAGTTATATTCATTTTCTGTTTTGTATACCTATTATTTCTCTTACTTTAGTGAAGTATTGATTTGATGATATATGGTTTTTTTGAGAAACTAGATCCCATGGAACTTGGTTTATTAAATCATTTGCACATTCTGTTTTATATTTTATGGTGTTGGTTCTGTCATAGTTTTCATGCTGAGGTTTGCTACCCAACCTTTGTGGTTGGGGGTCCCTACTAACCCGAGGGTAGGGGGCCCCTACTAACCCGAGGGTAGGGGTCGTGTTCTGTCATAGTTTTCATGTCTGATTGAGAATCACATTTCCAGGTCTGTCACATTCAGAGAACACAGAACCTGATGCAAAATTAAGTGCACGGCTTGAGGTATTGACTTGATTTCTTTTGATATAATTTCTTCTTCTGTTCTAGAATAAGATGGATAAAAAAAACATTTAGAGTTGCATGTTATAGCATATTTCGTTTGTACAATCTGATGTTTACATCAAATTAACAAATTTATTCAAGTGCTTGGACATGTTACGTCTGCCCTTGTACAACAGCTGCATTTTCTAAATGCTGTACATTTTAATCTTCTAGAAAAGAATTTCTTGATCTTTGAATTTATTTTTCTGTATTATGTACTGTGGCATATTTCTTCTTCAACTAGTTTGATTGCTCACTTCTTTGAACTTATTGATAGTTTATTTCAATTTGTTATTTTCTTGTGTATCTGCATATGTATAATTTAAGCATATCTAGTTATTAATCTTCTTGGATCCTTCTCGACCGCTAAAATCTCTTGTAGTACATCGAGGAGATGTTGCAAAAGGTCAAACAGGAAGAGAAGCTCCGCTTAGCATGTGGATCTCCTGATCATTCTTCTGCTTTTATGAATGTAGACATCCAGTGTTCTGATCAGCATGATAAATTGCCTGCTATTGATAAGAAGCTGCAATTTGAAATTCCTTTGCAGGAAATTGTTCCTTCTTCAGACCTGAGTTTAGATGACAGCCATATTAATGAATCTGCGAGAATTGGGGAGTGCTCAAAACCTCCAGATGGACCAATTGAAAGTGGATCACCAGCTTCTGTCATCTGCAATAGTTCGAAGCCTGATTTTTATACATTAAAGGGGGAGATATGCTTGGACAACCTATCAATTAGGGAACTTCATGGATTGTTTCGAGCAACTTTTGGGCGAGAAACTACTGTTAAGGACAAGTTGTGGCTTAAGCGTAGGATTGCAATGGGGTTGACTAATTCTTGTGATGTTTCAACCACAACTTTCACTATTCTAGATAACAAATTGGTGAACAAGGGTACAGATAATAGCTTTCAGAATGCAGATGGTATGCTCACTGAAGGGTCTGATGGTGAAGCGAAGAATCTTGGGTATGAAACTTCACCAACTAGCCACAGTAGCCAAATGGAAAATCATCAAATTGTGTTGGGCAAGAGA